TGTTGCTTTTTATCGCCATTGTTTCAATTTGTTTTGGATTTTGTTCATGCCCAATCGCGCCAATAACAATAACAACTTGTAGCTGTTAAATACATGTAAATTGACTATTTTACCTTTTTTTTTACTTTTAGTGTTATTTATAGTTGAATTAGACTCTATCCACCCGTGACCCTTCTACATATCATTTCATGTCATGTATGGCCACATATGTTGGTGGTTAAAAAAACCTTTTGGCAGCCCTTCCTTTCAACTACCTATACATATAACCCCATCTGCTTAGATTAGATTGATTTGACCACATGGATTTGACCATAGAATCTAGTGTTGGGTTTTATTTAAAACATAGTTTCAAAAACTACAAATAATGATAAACGGATGACTTGAGTTTTATAAATAACATAAACATTTTATCACCCACCAAGGATCATCTTGGAAGTAAAAGAAAGATTTAAGACACAACCATAGAAGGAAGAAGTGGTAACAACCTTTGAATCACTTTGAGTCCTCTAGGGGAGGCTTGGAAGTTGATGGAGTGAGGATGAAACCTTGAGACACAAACAATGTTCCAACGTGATGTAATGCTAGTTACAACTCTTAAGCTTTAAAGTCAAAACAAGATTATGACTTAAAGAGAGGATGCAATAAACAAATGTCTTCAAGGTTCAAGACTTGACTGAATATGGAGAGGGGAGAAGAAGCTCACAGCTTTTTCAAGGAAGGGATGAACCAAAATGAATCCACTCTCTACTATTTAAAGTAGAATGCTAATCCAAGAGACCTTAACCATTAAGCACTTTAAACATCCTTATCCCCTAGCATGCACCATACCTTGAATACTTTTGACTAAACATATATGAAATCCATACTTCTTCCTTTCGCCATGCATGGTCGGCCATGCTTGTAAAAAAAGAGAAGATTAAGTTTATATTTTATAAACTCAAATTTTATAAGAGATAAACTTTGTCTTTTTACTAAAAGACAAAAGGCTTTCCTAGTCCAAAATTGTTGTACATAAATTATTAATTTATACATTGTGAAATAATGTGTTACTTGTATTGCAAAATAATTATTTCCTTGACATAAATATTATCCTAATTTATTATAAGAGTATATGAATATTTATTAAAATCAATTTCTAATATATAATCATTTGTATCAAGTTGTTGTTAGCGTGACCCTTAGGATCATATGTTATTTAGCAATATCATTTAATATGACTCTTGAGTATACTAGATCTTTCAATCTCCCATATACACAAGACTCATATCAAATTGATATAGACAGTGGTGAACATCTAGCAGCATGTCACTACCCCCAACAACATATGACATAATGTCATTTCATCAACGCATATTTCCCTAGAAGCCCCAAGGATACAATTGGTTAGTGTTGTGATATGTCAAAGAGGGTTGAATTGAAATTGAGGGTGAGAATTGTGTTGGTTCCTTCTCCTGATATCACAATACAAAAGACAAAGATGATAGTTAGTCGACGTCCGAGTGGGATACCCGGGACGAAGCTCCGACGATGAAGTTATAATAGATTCCGAGAGAAATAAAGCTAAATCTAAAGAAAAAGAGTTTCTTCCACTTCCTCTTGAAGAAGAAGGGTCCTTATATACCTGGTTGTGAGGTGTGTGCCTCAAAACTGATTCTATTGAGCATTCCCTCGTGAGGTGCAACGTAGCGGATCCGTATTAAAGGATCTCCCGTCATGCCTTGTTGCCTCATCCCCTCAATGGCTAGAGGGGAATCTTTTATATTATGATCATCATGGCTGTCGTCAGATGGATAAGTGGAACTCTCTAATTGGTCCCACATTTTACGGGGTGTTACTCTTAAGAGAAGAGGGCATGGCATAGTTCTGCCCCTTAAACGCCATACTAGTGACTCCGCATTGGTGAAGGCCTAACCTTTCCCTCAGACTGGGCATGATTAGGTTCTACCCAACCAAGCTCGGATTTAGTTTGACGACTGCTTTTTTACATTCTCCCTGAGGGATATTTTAACTTGTCCCTTAGGCTTGTAGGCGTATGCGTTGGCTTGGTAACGTCACCGTGTGAGCCTATATTTCAACACGTGTATGTCTGAGATTATCTCCAGCATTTGACAGACTTTAGGTAGCGCCATCAATGTGTGTTAGACCCATGAAGAGATGGTTTGTAACTTTGGTTTTGCCTTTAAAATCCCCCCTTTTCCCAAGAAATTTCATATTTACCTCCTCTCCTTGCATTTTTTGTATCGACTCAGGCATTTTATGAAATTTGCTTTTCTACCATTCATCCGTTCTTGACGATGGACTGTTATGGAAGAGTCCCTACCTCAAAGGAATTCCAACTTTTGCAAGATTGATTCAGTTTCTTACTGGAGCATGGTGTGATGATTCCGGAGAAGGGGTTATCCATCTATAAATGTCCTTGAAGGAAAGGGTGGGTTCCTATTCCTCTATTCGAAGTGCGGATATGCCTGCCGACATCTGACTTTTTTGATATTATCATGCATCACTATGGCTTTTCTGTTGACAAATTAACTCCAAGCGCTGTTAATAAGATCGTAGGTTTTGAACTAATCTGTCGATCTCTGGGTTGTGTACCTAATTTTTGGGTTTTTAGTTACTTTTTATATTCTTCTACGAACTCCGGCATCCACACGCTAGCGTAAAGACAAGGCATTTGCTAGTTGATCTCTGAACAACATACATCGAAGAAAAATTAGCAGAAGCAATGGCTCTTTGTTAACCGAAACCTTGAGGGGCATGGGTTTCGTAAGACACAAGACTTTCCAAATCATCTTCCCAAGCTGTTCTGGGATAACATAACTCTTCGTAAGCGGCTGGAAAGCATTACTCTCACTGGGGAGAACTGGGAAGATTTTATTCTTGTTGTGGCCAATATGAGTGCCGCCTGGAGGGCATGTAGGAAGATAGCATAATTGTTTATCGTGAGATGCGGTATTCACTCATATCCTTCTCTCCCCTCCCCCTTTTATTTTTATTTTTGAAAAAATAAGGATAGGGTATCCTACTAGCTTGGTGTTATATCCATAAAAATTCATGAAAATTTCAAACTTTTTCAATCATTCAAAAACACCATTAAATTACAAATGTTTTCAAAATAGTTTCATATCAGAGTATCCTAGAAATCAACATCATAAAATGCGAGGAGGTGCATGATCAAGCCTTCGTCTTCCCACGATCATCCGAAGTACCTGAAACAAAATCCAAAATTGTAAGCCCGAAGCTTAGTGAGTTCCCCCAAAATACAACGCCATACAAACCATAACCATATCATAATAAGCAAATAGCATGCATATAAAGTCTACATTATGACTGGACCGCTCTCACCAGGCCTTCATTCTGTTTAGCCCACTCTTGGAATCTTCAGCATTTCTGGTCCGCCCTCCCGGACCTTCAGCTTATTTGGACCGCTCTCCAGGTCTTCAGCCTGACTAATATGCCCTAATGGTTCTATATTCTATCTGGTCTGCCATGGGTTTGTTGGTATTCAACACAAATCTTATCCACCTCAACCCAACCCCACATATACAATCAACACATATACATATATCAAACGCTAGCTAGCATGGACAACAGTCAAACCGATCTAACAGATCACTAATCATTGCATCATCCTATATACCAGGATAACGGCCTAACAGGTCACTAACATAGCATCATCATATATACCAGGATACCGACCTAACAGGTCACTAACATAACATATCATCATGCGATAACCAGGATAACAATCCAAAAAGGACCGACATTGGTGCCTTCAACCGTGTTAGTATAGTGAGGACAAACTCCAACTCTCGACACCAAACTCAACTGCCTATAACCATCATATAACTGATTCCATTAAAATCCCAAATTAATAAAATACCCTTAGGATTCAAACTTGGTCAACCCTTAGTCAAAGTCAAAGTCAACAGTCCATGTTGATCTAACTCATCGAGTTCATCCACTGACTCGTTGAGTTCCTTCAGAATTCAGAAACCAAAAACTAGGGCCAAATCACTGATTTACTTGAGTAACTCATTGATTTCCTTAAGAACCTCAAAACGAAAAACTCGAGTCGACTCGCCGAGTTACCTGAGTAACTCGTTGAGTTCTTCAGTGTCCAAAAGATCAGGAAAACCCTCATCGACTCACCGAGTCATCTTACCTACTCGTCGAGTTCACTCAAAATCCGAAAGGTGGGTAAACCCAACCCAACTCGTCAAATTGGCTTATGCAACTCGTCTAGTTCCTTCATCCCTTTTCTCATTCAGATGCTTTTAAGCGAAACAAAGGCTGCAAACTGTAGATCTAGCTTCCTAGAGTGTAGTTATCACGTAAATTTGCCAACTTTGTGTGCATGTAAAGCCTCAAAGGGATTAAAACCCTAGAACTAAGCTTAAAAAGAGGTTTAGGGCATGAAGAAGGACCAAATCTTGCTAAATTCAGAAAATTTCTATCCATGAGGGCCTGGAGGAGTCCATATCTGAAGTCCTCACCCTAAAACATGCTCATAACCATGAATGCTTCAAGAACAAGCTCGAATGACCCTAAACCTTTGGGTGGAAATATCTAACAAGAAAATGACCAAGGTGAAGAATTTTTACCTTGAAATTAATGCCAAAATGAAGTAGATTTCAGATCCTCAAGCCTCTTCAATAAATTTAACAAACACACACTCCTTCATCCTCACACGCACTCATAGGGAGGTTAGCTCGATTAGGGCTTGTCTCTGGACGTGAAAGGTGGTAATGAGGCTGGAAATAGGACTTAAGGTACTTTAAATAGGGTGCAAACCCTAAAAATTAGGGTTTTCATGCACAACCTTAACTCGTCAAGTTGGGGTCCTCCAACTAGTCGAGTTGATTCCATAAACCACGTAGCCTGATCAGCTTCTACACGACAAGTTGGAGCAACCAACTCGCTGAGTAGGTCTAAAAATATGAATATAAACACATCAAATAAATACCTGGGATTCAGAATGTTGCACTTGGGAATTCTAATATATGGTGTTGGTGTTTGCAGGTATTGAAGCTAATATTTCCTTGGAGATGGCCCCGTGCGATCACTATCAGGGTAACCTTTGCCACCAGGAGGTTGATCTTGTGGAAGCTCTTCCCCTCCTGTATATGAAAAACGTATGCGGGAGATCTCTAGACTACTCCCAACAGAAGGGAAATATTAGTTCTAGCGGACCTGCCTCACCTTCCCAACCGGCTGTTAGGGTTGTTTCCTCAGTTTGCTTTCCATCTTACGCTTCTCTTGATTTGCCCGTGGGGGTGTAAGCGGGGAAAGGTACTACCATCGGACGAAGAGACTGAATTCAATGATGTGAGCCTTCGTCCTCGTAAGATACACAAGACGGTGTATGTGCACCTGCTTCTTGGTGGTATTGGAGATGTTACTGGTGATAAATTTGTTTTGCCTGGGCAAAAAAAGATAACATTGGTGCCTAGTTCTTTAAAGGCATCACCTTCGCCGTTTATCGGCTCGTTCTCAGTTGATCCTGGTTCCAGCTCCATGCTTCGCGGGTGCACTAGGCACATCAGAAGATTCTTCCCCATTGGACAAGCATTCCATGGTTGATGAAATGAGAATTACATCTCACCCCTTGGATTTCGAGGCTTATGCTCCAGGATAGGCGGTTACTAAGGATTCCTTACCGTCGTAAATATCATCGCCCAAGAGTGGAATAGCTGTGCTCATCCACCGGCCATGATGAATTTGCTTATGGGATAATTGGGTGCTCGTATGGCCAGCAAGCTTCGGTATGTCGTTGCTCAAGCTTCTGCTCTTATGGTTGCTACCGCTAACCGGGTTTTTCGATCTAGCATAAATGAAGTGCTGCTAAAAACTTTGTAAGATGTCATTGCAGGCTTAAGCGAGGAACTCCACGATTCAGAAGCAGAGCGTCGAGTGTTGTCTGAGTAAAACTACACTATAGCCTGCGAGAAGGTCGCCTTGGAATATCATGTGGCCACTTTAGAAGGCCAACCGGAGTGACTCAAAAATCAAGTGAGTTCTCTCACTCGGGAGAAGGGTGTTTTGGCAAGTGAGTTGGATAAGTGTCAACTTCAACTGGCCCGTGCCTGGGTCGATGATGTTGTTACCCGGGGCAGTCTGTAGTGGATGCTGGAAAAAGGGTGTTTCGAGTGATCGATAAGGTTACCGAGAGCTCGGAATTTGCCAACGAGATTCAATGTGTTCAAAAGGCATGTGAGGCCTTGGGGTTGAAAAGGGGAAATAGTTAGTTGGTTGCTCCACAATTTCTGGTGAACCTGAAGCCCCAGACCCTGGCCATGTCGCGAGAAAAACCGCATAGATGGATATTGTTATTTCGTCCCCTGATGAAATGGATTTTGCGGGCCACTTCCATCTTGGGGAGTTGGATTATGACAACTTCCGCTAGTTTTGTCATAGTCTGGGTCCAGGAACCTCTTCCTCGGACTCAGAAGATTGATTTTTGTTTATCCCTTCTGTTCATTCTGTCATGTATTTGCATTCCCCTGTATTATATGTGTAGTGAAAAATATTGGTTGTTAATGACCAAGAACTGTGTATTTTGCTTTGTGCTTGGTATGGAAATTCTATTTTTGAATTGAGTTGTGATATCTTTAGGCTAGGGTTATTTGAAATTTATATTGTAATTCTTTTCTGTACACTCCCTTGTTCTAGGGTTACTGTTGATCGTATAATGTGTGTTTCAAACATCGTATATCTTGCCACTATTGACTTATATTTCATTGACTTGTATATTTAATCAGGACTTTTACGTTAAGTCACGAAATGTTGGTCAATGTTTTTTTTACCATACTTTGAGGTTTTAGCTACCAGTATATTGGCCGAGATCATCACCTCGAGGCTTTTATTATCTAGTCTTTAGGGGAAAGGTTATGAATTTTTTTTGTATCCCTTTCTTTATGCCATTAACTTAAAATTTGTACACTCTCAGCTCTAAGATGTTATTGGCAAATTTTACGTAAAGATTATGACTCTTTAAGACCTACGGTTGCATCCTTGAATAGATTTTGCTTAAGTAGCATACTTGATCAGCCGTTGTTTCTACTTGGAAAATATGCACAACCCCTTTACTTTATGTTTTTGCAATTGGTTAAACAAAATTCTAGAAAGCTCTTTCAAAACTGAAAATTATATTAACTCTTAAAAAGGAAAGATATGAAACCATAGACTTTGAATGTCCAAGTATCAGGGAGTATGGCTGGTCTTTGCGTTTGCACCTGGAGTATGGTTATCTTATGTGGAGTTTGACCATACTCCTTTTTCTCAGCCTCTACATTATTCTTGGTTGAGGGCTCTGCTATGACTACCTCGTCATGGTTGTGCATATTTTCCTTATCTCCTCCAAGTGTTTCTTGATGGGTTGGGGTTCCTTCTTATTTCCTCCACCGGGTCTCGGTGTGGAAGAGCTGAACTTCCCTCGTCATGCTCTGCAGGCATTCACACTTTTCCTTCTTCTTGACCCAATGCGTGCTGCGACTGTGGGGAGCGCCTCCCTTTGGCTAGGTGAAAATACTACCCGTGCTCTTCTGTGTGTCTATCAATGTTACATTTCACACGGTTGTTTAGGGTGTCGTTTTGATGATCATGAGCCCTATTTGGTTCTCGTCTATAGGAAAGCTTGCATGCTGGATTGAGTGACACCCCCACCACTATCTATGTTGTTCATGGCGCTTAGCTCCTTTGTCCCAAGAGGTTTGATTCATCTTTGACACTAGTGAAGAGCTAGTTCGAGTCCTGAATTTGTCTTTGTCAGGGCATGGCTTGGCCATCGGTTGCAGGCTCGACTGGCGCCCCTGCCCGTGGGTCAGCACTCCCATGCTCTGCGATTTTTGCTACGTACTTTGGCTGGACCACCTTTGGGTTGGCGCTTGTTTCTTTCCATGGAAGAGATGTTGTAAGCTACCTGAACACGTCTCTTTGCCGTTTCATAGACTCGTGGACCATCATTTATGTCGTTGCTAACCTCTATTGTGATTTCTCCAACTTCTGGCAACTTTTGTTTTGACACGATTTGGTTTTTGCTTTATCTCTTGCTTTGTCTCTTGTTAAGTACTATGCTCATTATCAGGTCTGGTTGCTACGAACATCGCCAACCCATCACTAGTGCTAAATTTAGGAATACCGTGGAGAGTGAATAGAATCGACTGTAGCTGAAAGAGCGCAGGCCGACCCAGTAGAATATTATGTTCGGCTGGATAATCAACAACCGAGAATTCAAGTGCCCTTGTTATCTGTTTTGTCCCATCATGGCTGACTAATGTAAACAAGAGCATGATTTTTCCTGTTGGCCAGATGCCATGACCAATGAACCCAACTAGAAGGCCCTGTTGTGGTGGCTGGAGGTGTTTTTCCATTCAATTGGTAACCGTCAAAGGCGGTGCTCATAGATTACATTGACCCTGTTTCCATTGTCAACGTATATATGCTCAACACTGTGTTGGCTAATGAAATCGATGATGTACAATGGGTCGCTCGGATCCCAATATTATGGCCTGGAATCATTCATCGAAAATTCTGTGTTAAGCATGTTTTGATGGTATATCGTCGCGCTTGTGTGTTGGCTCTGGTGATTGTTGTATAGGCGAGGCCCGGTGATGGTATGTATCTATGCCCTCCTTTCATGGTCCTTTTCCCCATCCTTTTGATTTCTGGGCTTGTGTTTATCCTCATCAAATTTTGCTCTGAGCTCTTTTGCTATGTCAACTATGTTTCCAACTAGTTGTTTCTTGTCTATCTCTATTTTCAATATCGTGCATTCGGTGGTATCATGAGTTTTTCTCTTGTGATATTCACAGAACTTGGTCTTTTCATTGCTCTCCTTTAATGGAGTTTTATTGATTGCATGGACATCTGCATGACCATTTCTGTTGTCATCTTTGTTAAACGACATGTACCTTCTTGACATGTGTCTTGAATGGCGATTGTGCTTCTGCTGGTTGCTGTTTTGCCTCTCCTGCTGGGCCGAGCTCGGCCTGGACGCCGCTTCCTCCTATTTAATATATGTGTTGGCTACAGCTTCGAGATTGGCCTCCTTTCACTCTCGCATTTAATTTTTCTCAAATATTAGAACTTGAGCTCGTCCCTGGATCTGGGGACTGTCCCTTGCATCATAGAGGTTCAAGAAGCAGACCTTGGGCGAAGGCGCCTGTCACCAGGAACTCTTCATTCCCTAGAAAATTTAAGGTAGCTAACGTGAATCGATCATAATAGTCACAAATCGACTCTCCTTCTTTTTTCTTACACGTCGTCACAGAGTTGGCGTCCCCTTTTCCCTTCCTCAACTACATGAAGATGTTGAGTAAAAGGTATTTCCACTGCTCAAAACTTGAGATACTGCCTGGCCTCAGAGACTTAAATCACTTGCTTGCATTTCCTGTTAGGGTATAGGGGAAATTGGTGCAGGTGAAGCGGCGTCCATCTTAAGAGACGTCATCGTCCACTCATAGTTGTCAATGTGGTCATCCGAGTTAGTGGTACCATCGTACTGTGTTATGTTTGGTATCATCGCAGTGTGCGGAATCTCATATTAGAGCAGCTCATGGCTGAAATTTGAGCTAGCACTTCGCATGGGGTTGTCCATGTACGAGTACGACATATCGTGTAACATCCTAACATTCAAGACCAAAATTTTTATTTTTAATTAAGTAATTATAAAACCAATAGTCTAAAACATCTATAGTATCATCCCATGTCAGAACCAATATGTCAATAATCAAAACATGTCATAATAAAACAAATTCATAGTATAACTCCCAAGGATCTCATGTGCGGATATAATGGTGTGATACGCTGCAATCATGATGGCTCCTTTCCTTTCATAGAAGAAGTACCTAAAACCAAAACTTTAAACCATAATAATGAAGATTAGTGAGTTCCCCCATCATACCACATACCATATAATAAACATATTTCCAGGCATATTTGGGTACCTAACCTACCCTTCTGAGTATACATGGGTGCTCAACCTACCTATGTCAAACATATCGGGGTGTCTGACCTACCCCTTTCAGGCGTACCTGGGTGCCCGACCTACCCATATCAGGCATATCTAGGTGCCCGACCTACCCCCCGGTTTATTTCAACCGGTTACAGGCTCTATTTCACCCATATCACTACCACATAATATCATATCATAAACGTACTGTCAGGCATATTTGGGTGCCTGACCTACCCTCCGAATTATTTAAACCGGTTACGGGGCCTACTTTATCCCTCCTACCACTACCACATAATAACATAGCATACAAGCACATAAATATCTACAGATAGTGGCATACCAAAAATTATCACTAAGACAATCATCTATACTATAAACAACTACTAGTGGGATGACATCGGTGCCTTTGACCCACTCATACAGGGAAGGTAACTCACCTCACAATCGAAAGTCAAATACTATTGCTGACGCTATTAGTTGCACCGGGCTACTCCACACCTAAAATATCATGCAATGAAACCCTTAGACTTGCCTTCCCTCTCAATAATTGACAAAAAGTCAACTTAGGTCAAAAGTCAATGCCTCAGGTCAATGGTCAGCTTTCTTATCATTATGTCCTTACAGCGTA